GTCAGTGGAGGCAGATGTACTAACCTTGAGTTTGTGGAAGAATGCCTCTTCCTTGGCTGGCTGCTCATTCCGCCACCTACCATATATGTATTTGCCATCTGCTGTTACATAGTCAGCGTACCCCTCTGGTCTGTACCGCCTCTGCTTTGGTGGCACGCTTTCTTCATTCTGAAGGTGCCAATTGTGCAGGGCGATACAGCAGAGGGTAACTGACTTCACAACAGACTTGGATGCATACATGGCAGATGACAAAACTTGGAAGCGGCCAACCAAGATGCCGAAAGCATTCTCCACCACTCATCTGGCTCTAGACTGGCGGTAGTTAAAAAGTGCTTTTTCCAGGGGGAGGAAGGAACCTTTGAAGGGAGTCAGGATTCCTTCAACCGAGGGGGAAATCACTTGCGTACTAACTCGTACACCCAGGCCTGTACTAAAGACGTACTAACTTGTACTAACAGCGTAATAACGCGTACTAATGGTAAAAATCAAACGTAATAGTGCCGTAATAACGTAATTTTGCATAAATGATGAAAAACTACGCAACAAATAGGGTGTACTAACGTGTTCTGACGTACTAACTCGTACACTCTGATCTGGAGTGATTCCCCCCTCGCCTTCAACATCATTAAAAGCAGCATCCCCCACAATTACAAAAGGAAGGTCACCTATGAAACGAGTAACACTATTTTAAATTCAATATTATATATTATACCAAGAACATCAAGAAGGAATTCACTTCTAGAGGTATTTGGAAAAAGTTATAATCCAAAGCTGCTTACCTGTCACTCCTGGCGCAGGGCATGCATTGGGAATTCTCAGGCGGTTGTTTTTCAGTTTCCTGCCCATTACTGAGTTGTGGATCAAATTAGCATCACCCCGACGCCCGCTGGCTCCAAAATCCACCATAGTGAATCTATATTTGGCATCTGCCACGGCCATCAGTATCAGCAAATGCGTGCCCTTGTAGTTGAAGTAGCGCGAGCCACCGCGAGGGAATGCCTGTAGACGACAATCAAGACTACTTAGGCTCCTTGCTTACACCTCAGCCCCCAGTGCTCAGGGTGGGCCGCCATGTCCACAGAGCTGCTGGGCGGGCTGGCCGACCCAGCTCGTAGCAGGTGCTATCATTAATGCGCAACGAAAGTTTTGCATAATTACCCGTGCAACTGCATGCTTCCCGTCGATGGGCCCGATGCAGTGATGGATGTTCCACATCTCCCGAAACTATGCGGCCGCTCTCAGCCACATGTCCCTTGAGGGCCTTTCAAAGACGACCTTCTCGAGACTTGTCGCGATGACTGTTGCCGTCTCAAAGATGATGTTGGAAATGCATTGGGGTGACACTCGAAAAAGGTACGACAGCGACTTCTGCCGGTCTCCCGATGCAATGTATCTAAAAGAAAAGTTTTAAATCAATGTAGTGATATTGTGACTAGTTATCGTTAAATTGATTCTTTGCAGACTGGGTTTCATTATTATTGTGTATTGTGGTTAAATCACTCAGAAAATTACCGTAGGGTGATGGCGAGCCTTTCTCCTTCAGAAACACAGGAGCGTTTGACCAGGTGAGGTGATACCATTTCCTCAAGAATGTCAAAGGACTCGGGAGTCACCCGAAAAAAATCGTAAAATTGGTCCGGGTCAGTAGCCCTCATTGTTGGAATGAGGGTGAACCACGCCCCACATAACCTCATGGTCCTAAAAAATGGTACGGACCCAGCATCTCCGCCCGACGATCTCCCGAGGACGTTTCAGAACTCTTCCTTTGGCTTGGTTGCACCGGATGGATGCGGCCGCCCAGGACCAGTCTGCTGCGGCGCTGATGAACGGCATGCGTCAAAATCCCTGGAGAAGAAGAAGTAAAGCGACGGCGAGGGATCAAAATCATTGGATGTAAGAAACGAATCCATTGGCACGTAATGGGGTCGATGGGACGGTGGAAAATGTGGAGTTCAATAACCTTACTACTCTTCTACAACCGCAACCGCCCTCCGTCTACTTACTTGGGGTGACCACACCTGTCGCTCGAGCATTTCGTCGCCGTCTTCTGAGAGCCAGAAGAGATCCCAGCAGGACGAGGGATTGTGCAGAACACTTCATAATTACAAATCGCACTCAGGCAACGGAAACTGCACACGTAATTGAATCGACTGCGCCAAATTGCCTTAACGCGCTGCAACCAACGACTTTCAAAATGACGACCGTTTTTAGCCCGCCCTTCTGCTTTTAAAAAAGCATTAAAGCGGGCTTATGCAACCGCTCT